CGGAATCCCCCTGGGCCGGGGGCGCTAGGGGGGATAGGACACACAGGGGTTCGGGGGGAGGGGGGCAGGTCTGACCCTGGACAGCAGGGACACGGACACACAGCAGGGCCTGTCCCCTCCAGCAGGGATGGACGGACAGACACACACACAGAATTCTGTGCTGGCTCCGCAGATAATCCCCCTTCTGACATTCCCCCCTTGCCAGGTCCCTGCCTCACGGCCCCTGCCCCCCATCTCTCACGAGCCTCCTGACCTTTGCTCTTCCCTTCCCCCACCGCAGCATCCTCCTGTTCTACCTGATGGCCCTGGCTAATTCCTACAGCCGCCTGGTGAAGGAACTCAAAGGGCAGCTCCGGCTGGTGAGTGACGTCAGGGCGCCTGTCCCCTCTAGGGTGGCTGGCTGGCTCAGAGAATGGGGCCCAGGGCCTTTCCCCTTTAGGGGCGTTGGCTCCCCTCTGGCCCCAGGGTGAGGACTGGCTGGGGGCGGAGGGGGGGGGGTGGGGGCCCGGGGGGCATTTCACTGCTGCGGGAGAGCCGGTTCCCGTCTCAAATCACCGTTAGCCGGTGGGACTCCCTGCTGCAAGATGATCTGCCTGGCAGGATGGGACACTGACAGGGATAAATGAGGAACAGTGTACGCCCCACTTCGGCCACTAGGGGCTGCCGTGGTACCTGCTCCGAAGTGGATGGGACGGGGCTGTGGCAGAGGCAGGCATTTCACTGCTGCGGGAGAGCCGGTTCCCGTCTCAAATCACCGTTAGCCGGTGGGACTCCCTGCTGCAAGATGATCTGCCTGGCAGGATGGGACACTGACAGGGATAAATGAGGAACAGTGTACGCCCCACTTCGGCCACTAGGGGCTGCCGTGGTACCTGCTCCGAAGTGGATGGGACGGGGCTGTGGCAGAGGCAGGATGCCAGGGTAGAGGGGCCCTCGGAGATGGCTGTACTTATTCTCTAGGACAGTGGTTCCCAAACTTTTTGGCATCACGCCCCCTTTTTGATTTTTGAAAAACCTTCACGCCCCCCCTCCCCCAAAAAATAACAGCAAAACTTGTTGAGCAAAAAAAAAAAAAAGGAACTGACCAGGGCAGCAAAACTTGATGGGGGGGGAGGAGGCTGGGTCGCCTCGCATCCCCCCTGGAATTTCTTCACCCCCCCCCAGGGGGGTACTCACCCCAGTTTGGGAACCCATGCCTAGGGTTTCCCCACTGCTTTTTAACCCTTTCTTCTCCCACAGGAGGGGCGGAATAAAGTTTTCTTAGTGACTCAGATCACAGAGCTGAGTTAAGGAGAGCGCAGCAGACGCCACGATTTCCCCTCCCGGAACAAGACAACTCCGCCAGCTGATTTGCGGAGGGTTCTTGACCTAACTTGTTGGACCATCCCTCCCCGGCCAGCGACACCGATTCCCTGTGCGCCGAGACTGCCCCCTGCTGGAGGGGAATGACAGAAACCCCCAAAGAGCCCAGAGCTTGTTTCTGTCCCCTCGCCCGACACGGCCCCTCTGAGGTGGTGCCCAAGGGCATTTATACAGAGACCTGGTGCTAAGAACCAGCTTCTCTTTACCACCAGCCAGCACCACTGTTCAGTTTCAGACAGGAAGTGAAGTAGAACCCGGCGCGTGACTGACATCCTTTCAGGAGAGGTGTTATTCCTTGTGTTTGAAATGAGCCCGGATTCCACACTCCATTCTCGTGTTCTCTTTCCTGCCCCGGGCTAGCCCCACTTCCTCCAAACGGTGGACCCATGTGAATCTCCTGCCGCCAGCTGGCTGCAGAACTCCATTGTCGCAGTCCAGGGTAGCTGTGCTGGTATTCCCCAGCTACAAGACCTGATCCGTCTCCCCGTTTTGACAGAGACCTGCGTCTCTCCCTCCCTGATTGGGGGTTTTCAGGCTGATTTCATCGTACGCACACACCCAAACCCCAAAAGAGATACTGCTATTGACAATCATTGGCATTTACAACTAGGCCAAGCCCGAGAAACCCTGCGTGAGAACTTCCCAGCGTTTGATTTCAGGCCCCTTTCTAGGTGTATTTTGTGCCCCAATGATAACAATTTAACATCTTATAAAATTGTAACTTTTTGAGTCTCTCACACCTAATGTTATTAAATCACTGTGTGACGCCCACCCCCAACCTCCTGCCCCAGACATTTTTTAACCCTCTTCTGATTTTTCTGCAGCTGGGAAAAGTGGTGGGAAAAAGTTACAACGAAAGCACCATTTTTGGTTGAAATTAAAAAGTAAAAATAGAATGCTACTTGGTCAAAGGGTAAGTAATCAAGGTGGCCACGGGGGGGGGGGGAAAAGGGCAACAAAAAGGATCGAGCATTTGGAATGGGTCCCATATGAAGAGAGATTGAAAAGACTGGGATTTGTCAACTTAGAAACGAGGAGACTAAGGGAGGATAAGGAGAGGTCTATAAAATTATGACTGGTGTGGAGAAAGTGAATAAGGAAAAGTTATTTACTTGTTCCCATAAGAACTAGGGGTCACCAAATGAAATGAATAGGTAGCAGGTTTAAGACAAACAAAAGGAAGTTTTTCTTCACCCAGTGCACAATCTGTGGAACTCCCTGTCTGAGGACAAGGTTCAACAACTAGGCAAATTTATGGAGATTAGGTCCATCAATGGCATCCCTAGTCTCTGTCAGAAGCTGGGAATGAGTGACAAGGGAGGGCTCATTTGATGATTTCCTGTTTTGTTCATTCCCTCTGGGGCATCTGCCATTGGCCACTGTCGGCAGATAAGATACTGGGCTAGATGGACCTTTGGTCTGACCCAGTGTGGCCGTTCTTACGTTCAGGGCTAGAGGCAAGTAGTGGTGAGTTTGTCCCATCCATCCTGCTACTTCCACTGTTTCAGCGAGTGCTTGGTCGCCTGCCCTAGGGATGTTAAAATGAATGTGTTTATTTAGGTAAACGGGCTAGAGGCAAGTAGTGGTGAGTTTGTCCCATCCATCCTGCTACTTCCACTGTTTCAGCGAGTGCTTGGTCGCCTGCCCTAGGGATGTTAAAATGAATGTGTTTATTTAGGTAAACATGTAAACGCTTAAAGTTTCATGGAGGCAGGAGCTGGCTTGTGCGTGCTGCCTGTGAGCATTGGCTCCTGCACCCCCCTTGCTGCTGCCTCTCTCAGAAGCAGCAGTGGGGTGGATGGAGGGAGGCAGGTGGATCTGTGGGAGCTGGTACGTGTGGGAAGCAGGCTTAAAAGCTGGCTCCCACCTCTCCCCTGACACTGCAGCCTCTAATAAAGAGGGGAAGGGGGGGCGACTGGGTGTAACTGTGAAGGTTATCCAATGAGCCCACTGTTCACATCTCTGCCCTGCTCTCCCCCCGGCTGCAAGGGAGGCCGTGTGATTCTGTGCATGCTGGGTACCCAGGAAGGGCCATACGGTGTCAGACCAATGGCTGGTCACCTGGCAGC